GTTTCACTGCCCTTTTTTTGAAGATGCGCACATATGCCCCACATTTTTACTCGCTACCATCATCTGAAGCGAGCGATTTTTGCCTCGCCCATGCTGAACAACGTTTATCATTCCTGAATTATCTGTTAGAAGGTGATAATCTTGAGCAAAGTTCCTGATGATACCAAAGTACTATGGCGTGAAAATGCTATCGACTCAACTTATGTATAGTCAACGAGTCCATTTTTTTTATTTACTTTGAAGTGAGTTCTTTTTTTTAAAAAAGTCGATACATTCCAGACCCATCACAACTTCTGGAGCAAATTCCCGCATTGACACGAGAAGTGGATAGGTTGCGTACCACCGAAGAACAACTGAGTCTCCACAAAAGGCAACTCGATGAGTTACGTGATGAATATGGCGATTTACAAAATCAGGGTACGAACTGCCGGTTTTGCGCTGAGATACCTCTGTGCTTAATCAACACCTCTCTGTGATTGATCCTCGCAAGCTGACCTCTTCTTCCTCATCCATTCCTCTCTGACCACACACATATGGTTAATTGCATCGTTATGATCACATATTCTGCTTATGTTTTATGTATTGATCTGTCTCACAGAACTTGAGGCAAACAAAGTGCAACGCTGCGACCTCCTGATTGCAGGGGCCTGTTCAAGTGTAAACAGTTCTTGTTGGTAATATCTTGATCTTGATTTTAACCCTTAGATTTTTTACTGCAAATGCTCCCTGGATCAAATTTTTCTGCATCTTTTTGGACATTTTTTCTCCTCTGATAAATACAGAAATGCATATTAAGCAGAAGTTATTGATGCGTGCCAGAATTTTGACACCCACTTTCAACTCAGCAACCAGAGAATTTAGGAAGCTGAAATTTAACAATGGTGTCCCATACATATATGACTATAGCTTAGTTCTCACGTACGGAAGGCTGAAAAAAAATGAAGTTTGTCAGCAAAATGATTTTGGAAATCAGACAAGATAGGAAGCAGAAAGTTTGCAAGAATGTTCTTTATTTGTGTGCGATCTAGTAATTTTAAATTCAGCCTTGAGGTATGCCTAGGTTTTTTTTTTTT